ATTATTAATTTTGTTATGGCTGTGTTCATGGATTTGTTTCAAAATATCCATGCTGAAGTATGTTGTACATTTGGAGCATTCATATGTCTTTATGGCATCCAAATGTTGAGACTGTATGTGGCCTGGTATTTCAGATATGGATGTGAATTTTTGTGAACAATACTCGCAAGAAATGAACTTCTCCTTAGTACATCGACATTTGTGATTATTTTTGCCAATTTCCACCATCTCGAAACAAATATAGCATCGCTTGCATGGGACCCTAGTGCTTCATTGCGTCAGTATGAACTCAAAGTAAAAAGAAAGGAATTTCTGCAACGTTCCGAATTTACAAATGTATATTAAGTTTATATTCACAGTACACAGAAAATATATCTACCAACTATTTTCGTCACAAAATTGATATCAGAAATTTTGTGTTTCAAATTTTGGTCTCGTCACTCGTTCTTCACCTTGATAGAGGTTTTTTATTTGATATCAATAGTTTTGTAAGCGCTATTTTCCAAGTTAAAGATTCAAGACACATGAATTTGAATATTTTTCAAATACAATGGAAATATAGATTTTTAGGTTATTTTTGGACCAAATTTATACAAATTATGGTTCATAATGAGGAACAGAGGTATTTTTCAGTGGTATGTGATATGCATATTGTTTTATCTTTGACTTGAGGCTTAAATTGATGAAATTTTCAAGAGAACATATGCAGTCTTTTTCAAAAATGCCCGTTATGTGTGCGGTCAACGGTCAATGTTTGGTTTTTTGCCAATTTGGCCACCCCCACATGGAATTTTCAAGTCGCAATTGACACCACTTGAGAACTTACTTTAAGTCCTTTCGAACGAATATGCATTTGTCCTGGTTATGTCAAGTCTAGGTCCCACAGCGACCGTATGAAATAATGGCCATTTTTGCATGACCTTTTGCATAGTTTGCATTTATACTAACATTTTTGTAGATTTCTTTTAATTTAATTTGTGACTAACCGCATGCACCTCTCCCGACGATAGTCCACCTTCTGGCCTGGTGGTAGGGGACTTAAATTCGGTATTTTATCGATCTTATGCGAGGAAACCATCAAACATGTAGTTATTTGTTGTTAAAATGTCATATTTCATACATGTAGACATTTTTGAGAAAATCCGATTTTTGGTACATTTGGCCGATTTTTGGTGGAATAGCCATCCAAAACGGTCGATATTTTGTTCAATTTTGTTTCGCTAGTCATAGAGCATATTTACAGAGTCATTGGAGTACATTTTGGCCCATAAAATACTTCAAATGTTAAAATTAACATTTTTTGTCATTTTTGGCCATTTTTGGCCATTTTCGCACTATCAAAGGCCATATCGTGAAGACAAGAATTTTCAGGGATATAAGCTATGCGGCATTTTATAGCTTAGACTTGGGCCTTAAAATCGGTGAAATTTTCAAGTGACCATGAAAGGCTAGTTTTCGAGCTAATGACCATTATGTGTCCGGCCAAACGGTAACTTTTTGGTTTTTGGCCAATTTGGCCACTCCAACTTGAAATTTTTGGACCGAAAATGACTCCATTCGATAGCTCACCTCAAGACCTTTCCAATGATATGCATATGTCTGGGAGGGTGTAAAGTCATGGCGCTTCGGTGACCATAGGGAAAAAAGTCGAAAAGTGACTTTTGGAGGCCGGCCACGGTCAACATGGCGCCCAAATCGAAAAGTGCCGGAACAAAAAAGTCTTAGTTTTTTATGTACTTTAATCACAGGAAGTTTCAAAAAGATCAGAAACAACTACGCAAAATTGGCCACAGACAGACAGACATTTTGATTTTTCATAGGAATTCATATGAAATTTTTAAAATAATAAATTTTTCGAACGGATTGATCGATTTCGACGGTTAGGGGGTCGTTGGAAAGGTATTGAGCTCTAGAATAAGAATATAGATGTTTCAGGGGTCAATGACCTCATTTAGTGCCATTTATGGTCATGAAACTGAATTTTGACCCTTTTCTTGAAAGGACCATATTTTGAAGACAGGTGGACCGATTTTCAAACTTTTATATTTTTTCTTGATCTATAGCCCAAGGGCTTTCCAACCATACATCAACCGGGGCCAACGGCCTTCTAGGTCTGGATTTCGTATATTACGTGTATATATAGCGAGTTCGACTTTTCAACACACTAATGTGGTTTCGTCACTCGCGCGAACTGCCGTCCGCTGTGATATTGTTTCACATAAAGTTTAAACAAGCTTTTCATATAATAAAAACATCCGCATATTTTGGACTTTATTACTTGTTGCTGTACACCGTAAGAGTTTTGCAGTATTTTTACCATAAGAGATTCATTTAATTGAAGACCAACACACTTTGGCCAGACAGTCACCATTGAACAAAATGTAGACTCGAATAATAACAGCACGACTAGAAAATACTGAATAATATTTGTTTAAAATCAATGTTCAAAATTTGAATGATATCAACGATTTGTTTTTATTTCATACAATGCTCAAATTGCAATAATTACACCAAAAAATCGTCCACCAGCCAATGAGACTAACAAATATGACAACCAAACCAACTGCTGCAATCAGCAGGGCTAAATAATAGAAAAATGGATGTGGAAGATTCGATAGGACTTCATTGTTGGCCCCAATTAAAAGCGAAATCAGAATGCGTTTTGAATCTGTAAATAACGAACATCCAGTAATGAGTAAAACGAATCCACAAACCTTAAGAAAGAAAAAAAAGTCGGTCTGAACAGCAAAAAAGTATAAGAATTTTTACAATTACACTACCGTAAGCATAAGATTACAAGTTCCAAGTAAAATTTTGTGGTTAAAAATCATTATATTCTGGTGATTAAGTTGATTCACTTATAAAATGAAACATATAGATTTTTTTTTTTAATTGCAAACAATTTCAATAACAGCAATTCAATAGTATTATTATTAGACTAAGCTGCACACTTATCGCAAGCAATATTAAAAGAAATTTAAACAACTGTACATACAGGCTTTTAACACGGTTGTAATTGATTTGAATATCTCGTTATGCATGTGTCACAGACAACAAAAGATATGCGATCCAAAGAACTGAGTACACATAACTGTGTCATAACATAACACTGAACATAAATTCAACTATCGCTCTCTCGCTGAAAATTTTATTTATTTTAAAAATGTGTCGAAATATTCAGCAAAATAATAGAAAAAGAGCGGAAGTATACCAACATACTTCCGCTCTTAATAAATCTACTGGAGCATAAAGTTTCATACGCCAATGGCACTAGACCATGAGTTTATTCTTTTGTCTTGAATTATTCTGTAACCTTTTGTTATGAAAATACTCTATCTTTTTATTGTTTAAAACTAAGTAGTATAGAAATGCCGGTTTCATCCTGCAATATTTACTTCTAAAACACGAAGTAGGTGTAAAGCGAGAAAAACACACATACGCATGAAAGAAACAGCTATTTCTCATTTTTTCTCTCTCACATATTGGTGATTTTAAACGTATTTTTTTTTCTTCTCTTTTTCAAATATTTATTTCAATACATGTTGAGGCTATGACAGTACAAACGAAAAAATGTTTTATTTTAACTGTCTGTCCAATACCTGTATCCTGTATATAATAATAAACTTCGTTATATATCGTTTTAAGTTCATTTATTTAGATAATTTTCACGTTTACACATTCAATGATGATGAGATTTCTTTTGTGTCTGTACAGCATTTACGAATCTTAGGTGAATACAATGTATGACAAACAAACACAATCAAAACGTTGAAATGTTAACGAGTGTAAAAGAGACGATATTACTCAGTTGTTGCTCATTGATTTTAAACAATGCACAGTTGTATGGATGTCCGTGTATAATTCGATGTTTGCTGTTTGTCTGTGTGCGCGCGCGTGTTTTTATATACTATATACGTGTATGTGTATGTATGCGTGAAAATATGCCAAGTTATGTATTACATCGTTTAGAACTAAGTTGGAGTTATGAATTTTTTTCATCGATTAAACAAATGATTGCTTACATTTTCATTACTTAAATGTATGGCAAAAAAACACTTATCATCGCGCCAATCCAGTTTTAAGGGAAATGGCGTGGGAGAATCAATGGCTTTGCTGACCAACTGTTGAGTTTGATTTAACATGTTCCGTAATTTTCAAAAAATTAAAAATTCTCTCATCTGAACAACAAATTTCGTTTTTTTTTTTTTTTTTGGAAGTCACTTTTTGAGGCTAAAATCCCTAGCAAATCGAAAGAATTTTCTCCGCGCAAAACCTCAGGAAATTACAATAAAATCGTTTTTTTTTTTTTTTTTTGGAAGTCACTTTTTGAGGCGAAAATCTCTAGCAAATCGGAAGAATTTTCTCAGCCAAACAAAGTGAAGAGCTAAAAAAAAAAAAAAGGTCTTCACTTTTTTCGTGAAAAACCCTAGCAAATTCGAATAATTTTCGCGAAAATTTTTTTCTCATCCAAATCACAGGGGGGGGGGGTAAACCCCCCCTTCGCACATTACTGACTATAGTATATATAAATTAAATTGCATTACTATGTATTATATATTGTTTACTAGCGATCATAATGAATTATGTTTTGGAGATTGGATTTGACGGTATAGTAAATTAATTGTTATATTATATATATTGCACTCACTGAATGTTTTGATTTTTAAATAGTCACCTATTTAAATAGCATTCTAATCCACAGTTTGTTTACCGTGTAATTTATTGTTTCGCTGAAAAAGCTTTGATTAAAAGTGTTTTGTTTAAAAGTAATGTTGCATTCTATATGTTTACTAAGCATTTCAATTCAGGTGCAAAATGAAACGTGAAAGTTAGACAAAGATAAATAATATGCATGAAATTAAGAATTGTTATATATGAACAATAATAAAAAAAAAATGACAAACTTAATAGATGATGAAGAATATGATTCATCATGTTTACGCTTTTTAATCAGTGACCGGTTCGCGCATATTTCTATGCCTGATAGCTATGCTAAGC